CACTTCTTTTCATTTGTCTCCCACTTCTTTTTCATTTGTCTCCCAGGCTGGGTGCTTGTGGTCGGGTTCCTGGCTAGCTTGTCTCCCACTTGCTTTCATTTGTCTCCCACTTCTTTTCATTTGTCTCCCAGGCTGGGTGCTTGTGGTCGGGTAGGCTGGGTGCTTGTGGTCGGGTTAGCGGCTGGCTTGTTCCCGGCTGGCTTGTCTCCAACTTACATGTGTCTCCCACTTCCTTTCATTTGTCTCCCAGGCTGTTCCTTGTGGTCGGGTTCCGGGCTCACTTGTCTCCCACTTGCTTTCATGTGTCTCCCAATTCTTTTCATTTGTCTCGCAGGCTGGGTGCTTGTGGTCGGGCTGGGTGCTTGTGGTCGGGTTCCCGGCTGGCTTGGCTCCCATTTCTTTTCATTTGTCTCCCAGTTCTTTTCATTTGTCTCCCAGGCGGGGTGCTTGTGGTCGGGTTGCCGGCTGGCTTGTCTCCCACTTCCTTTCATTTTGTTGGCGGTGTGCCGGTTATGTTTTGATGGTGTTCGGGTCATGTGACGGTGTCCCGGTCATGTTGTGATGGTGTCCTGGTCATCTTGTGATGGTTTTCCCGTCATGTCATGTTGGTGTCCCGGTCACCTTGTGATGGTGTCCCGGTCATGTTGTGATTGTGTCCCAGTCGTGTTGTGACGGTGTCCCAGTCGTGTTGTGACGGTGTCTCGCTCATGTTGTGACGGTGTCCCGGTCATGTTTTGATGGTGTCCCAGTCATTTTGTGATGGTGTCCTGGTCATGTTTTGGCGGTGTGCCGGTTATGTTTTGATGGTGTTCGGGTCATGTGATGGTGTCCCGGTCATGTTGTGATAGTGTCCCGGTCATGTTGTGATGGTGTCCCGTCATGTCATGCTGGTGTCCCGGTCACCTTGTGATGGTGTCCTGGTTATGTTGTGATGGTGTCCCAATCATGTTGTGACGGTGTCTCGGTCATGTTTTGATGGTACCCTGGTCATTTTGTGATGGTGTCCCGGTTATGTGATGATGGTGTCCAAGGAAGAGATGGTCGATGTTTTGAAAACAGCAGCTGTTTCCAGATTTTTCTTTTTGTCCCGGTTTGTATCTTGCTATTGGGGTCTGCAGCTGGGCTAATTTGTTTCCCACTTAGTTTCACTTGTCTCCCAGTTCTTTTCATTTGTCTCCCAGCTCTGGACTGCTGTGGCCGCCTCTGCCTTGCAATCCTTTGTCTCCCAGCTCTGGACGTCGCAGGCTCTAGTTGCAGAGTGTTCCGATTCGAAAAACACAAACTGTTTGGGATCTACGGTGGTGTAATTTTAATTACCCTTCCCTCTACAACAAAACTCACAATGCATTGGTGCTCATGATCCTCTTTTCAATTGAGCCCTCTTAGTGAGATAAAAGTATTTTTCAGCAATTGGTTCGTAAGTAATTTTTCTTTGGTTGTTGTTTATTGCAAAAAGAAGCATATTCCCACTTCCTTGTACGGTAATCATCAAACCAGAATCTATTTTGTCGTAAAAGGTCTTATTAAATCAGATGGAAATACTTATCCGACTCGTAATTAAACAAATCTCTTCAAAGATTCAACACCCAGACCATCGACCGATATCGTTTACGACAAGGAGATCTTCCAAGTTTCAAATAACCAAGGCATTTGCCCCGGACGGATTGCCAGCATTAGTGAAGCAATTCTTTACACAGGACATTGCTGGAATTATATTCCCTGCGATTGAAAGTGCGTGGATTCAATCCGGCATACCGCCCACACGATGGTCCAGGATTCTTTGTGTTTGAGGATATAAGTTTTGGCTTTCAGTCGGAATTGACGCCGGGAGGTAGTGTCTATAATCATTCCTTTCGTAAACGATATCGGTCGATGGTCTGAATCTTTGAAGAGGTTTGTTTGACTAGATGCCATCTGGGGAAATTCAACAGAAGTGGTCTATGTTCCGGTCCCTGGTGTAAGCCGATTCGTTCAAAACGGCAATCGATCAAAACGGGCAAGTCTTTCCATCTAATTGAATTTAACAAAAATGACCTTATAAAGACAAAATCGATTCTGGTTTAATAACTACCGTACACGAAAGTGGGAATATATTTCTTTTTCAACAAACAACTACCAAAAACCCATGAACCAATTGCAGAAAATTATATTTATCTGACTTGAGGGCATAGAGGATAATGAATACTAATGCACTCTGAGTTTGTTGCAAAAAGAAAGGTAATTAAAATTACTTATAACAACCCAAAATATTACTCCATAATATGTAAAAGATACTCTTAACTCAGTTTCTTCCACAAATCCTGCCGTTCTTACGCAGGACCATATCAGAAGGCTGCCTACTGCCTATTAAGAATGGATGCAAACATCAATGTTCGGTCTCCCATTCCGCGCCACAGCCCCTTCTGGAGACTATGGATACTACCACTACAAAAAGAAAGGGAGGCCCAGCGGCGACCACGCGCACCGGAGGCCCTTCTACAGTCTCTAACACTACGGAGAGAGCCGGAATCAATGAGTGAGTGAATGAGTGAGTAACGAAGTTTCTGACGAAGTCTTGCAGACGCCTGGGAGTGTGAGTGTGAATGAGTGAGTGAGTGAGTGAGTAAGTGAGTGAGTGAATGTGTGTGTGTGTATGTGTGAGTGTGTGAGTGTGTGAGTGTGTAAGTGAGTAAGTGAGTGTGTGAGTGTGTGAGTGAGTGTGTGAGTGTGTGAGTGAGTGTGTGAGTGTGTGAGTGTGTGAGTGTGTCAATGTGTGAGTGAGTGAGTGAGTGAGAGTGAGTGAGTGTGAATGAGTGAGAATGAGTGAGTGAGAGTGAGTAAGTGAGTGAGAGTAAGTGAGTGAGAGTGAGTGAGTGTGTGTGTGAGTGAGTGAGTGTGTGAGTGTGTGAGTGAGTGTGTATGTGAGTGTGTGTGTGAGTGTGTGAGAGTGTGAGTGTGTGAGAGTGTGAGTGTGTGAG